TTTCACCTTCTTTTCAAATGTGTCTTCATTGGAGTGGCACTTTTAGTTTCCTTCAAGAAATTTTCCTTTGCATTTACAATTCAGCTAACTGTTTGGCACAAGAGTCTAGTTTTCAGCCTGTCTTGGCTTTTGACATATCTTCCTCACTAAGCTTAATTATTTCTAGCTTTTGGTTGAAAGTGAGACACATATGACTATTTCTTTCAGTTAAACACTTAGAGGCCATTGTAGGTTTATTAATTGGCCCAATTCCAATATTGTTGTGTCTCAGAATAGGGAGGCTGGAGAAGAGGGAAAGATATGGATAAGGGTTGGTCAGTGGAACAGAAAGAACACACACATGTAGAGATTAAGTTCATTGTTTTATATGGGCATAGTTTGTGGTGCCCCAAGACAATTAAATTGAAACATCAAAGGTCACTGATCACAGATCATCATAAGAGATAGAATAATAATGAAAAAGTCTGAAATGTGAGAATCACCAAAACATGACACAGAGACACTAAATGAGCACATCTGTTTGGGAAAATGGTGCTGATAGATGTGTTGGATGCAGTGTTGCCACAAACCTTCAATTTATAAAAAATTCAATATCTGTGAAGCACAATAAGTGAAGTACAATGAAGTGAAGTATGTTTGTCTTATTCAGTGATATAAAGAAATGAGCTATCAAGTCATGAAAAGACATGCAGTTACCTTAAATGCCTGCTACTAAGTGAAAGATAGCCAGGCTTAAAAGCCTGTATATACTGTCTGTTGCCAACTATATTACAGTATGGAAAAGGCCAAACTATAGAGACAATAAAAAGATTAGTGGTTGCTAGGAGTGGAGTAGGAGGAGTGAATAGGTAGAGCATATGCCATTTTTAGGGCAGTGAAACTGTTCTGTCTGATACTCTAAAGGTAAATATATGATACTATGGATTCGCAAAACCTACAGAGCTGTACAAGAATGAACCCTCATGTAATCTCTGGACTTTAATAAATAATAATGTATCACTATTGGTTCATCAGTTGTAACAAATGTACCACAGCAATGCAAGATGTTAATAATAGGGCCAACTTTGGATAGGGGAGAGGTGGTATATGGCGACCCTGTACTTTGTGACCAATTTTTGTCAAACCCTAAAACTGCACTACTAAAAATAAAAGCAATAAAAAACTCACTAAAAATGCATCAGTTAAAAAAAAGTTTAAAAAACCCATGTATTCTATTGATTGTTCATATATCCTTTTCCATAATTCTCCAGTGAATTACTATTTAAATTCGAACAATTTTAAAATGATGTTCATAAAATTCCAAGTTTTCCTACACATTTTTTATTAACTCTCAATTGTTCTTGGGTATATATGAGTTATTCTAATTTCATCTGTTATTTTCCCGTAAGTACATCTTTCCTGCAGGTATATAGTAATACTTTGAAACAAAGTTAGATGATGATTTTACATTAAATATTATCCTACTTAAAGTGTTTTCATTGTTTTAGATGATTTACATTTCCAGCATGTTTTCTCTTTCTTCTGTGCTCTATATGCTCTATTATTATATTCTTTGTTTCTTTGCAAATGGAATGGTTTCTATTGCTATATTTTTTTCTGTCTTTTGCCACTAGCCCACCTCATATCTCTGTACATGCACACACATACATGCATGCCTGCATACCCTTCACAAACAGACAGAAATACACAGGCATACAGATTTTTGAACCTTATAGTTAAGCCGCATTCTTGTCAAAAAGGTCTAGTACTCCTAGAGTCGATGCAGCTGCCTCTCCCTTTCTTTGGGAGATCAGCATTACTCATCACCGCAAATATTCTTGCTTTACTACTTGCTCATTGTTTTGGATATACAGAGCACTTAAATATTTGCTATTTTAGTGCATTATAATGAACTGGTTATTATGTTTTCAAAGTCAAATACGGGTCAAAGTAATTGTTTTTTTTAACCAAATTTTATTCTTCAGGTACTTTTTTAATGTAAAAAAAAAAAAGCCCATACTGTTTCTGTCTATTAATAGGTGGTAATTGGAACTTGGTAAAAGGTAGTCTAAGCAGAGGAGTCATATTGCTTGAGGCAGATTAAAAAAAGTATCTAGTTATATAAGCCTACATAAAGCCACATCTCCAGACTAATATTTAATGTGAAGTGGATAAAATTTATATTATGAACAGCTGTAGATTTAAGTTAGTAAAGCCTAAAATTATAGTAGAAAACATTTCAATTACAGTTTTTAAAATATGAAAGAGATGCTGATTGTACATTGAAATATTTTGCATAATGACATCTGTTTTTCACACACATGCATACATACACACACAATCCCATTTTGTAGCTTATAAAACAGAGGCACATAGTGGTTCAGAGACTTATATAAGCTTACACAGCTAACAGGGAGACCATGATTCAAACATCAGACAGCAGAACTCCTGAGTACCCTCTCTGAACTACTAAACTGTGTTACCTCCCATCTTAACTAACATGACTCATTTTTCTTCCTTAAAATGCCTTGAAAGTTATTATGAAGAAATACCTCATCCAGCTGTAGAGGAACAACCAACTACATTTATTTTTAGAAATGATAAGGGAGTTGTTTTCCTCTATACATAGACTTCCACAACTAGAGCAGTTGCATAACATGGTCTGTGTAGATTATACTTTTTTCACGATTCATTTAACTACTTGCATTTGATATCATTTCCTCTCAAATTGAAGCACATCTGATGCAGATTTACTGGGACATTCACACTCCATTTTGGTTTTAAAAGTTGCAGACCTCATTTACAAGAGCATGAACAACATAGCCATTTGAAATCACCCCATCTTTTATAAGGTTTAACTTTTCTTCTGGAAAGGAAAATAATAGATGGAAAAACGTACTTGTAGTATTACTGTTTTTTGTTTTAACTGACATACTGCTCATGACTAGTTGCCACTTAACCCACTGATGGGTAAATGTTCTAAACTGAGCTTGACTGAAGAAAACTAACCAAGTTACTTAGCCTATATGCCCAAGTTTCCTAAGAACCCCTCCATACACATTTGGAAATATTCATATTATATGTTTTTTAAATCTCTGAACAGGAAATTCATGTGTCTTTTTGAAATCAAATCCAGACTGCCTTGATTTGCTTGTGCTTATGTCCTATAATCTCAATGTCAAGGTGTAAAACTGTACTAGTGATTCCTTGGAATGGTTAAAAATGGAATAGTAGTTTGGTTTCATATTCATGATTGATTAAGTGAGAAATCAACTATACATTTGAACTCTTCCAGTTTATATAATTCTTGAAGCTTTATGAGCTTTAGAATAAAAACCCGTTAATGCTCTTTGTTTAAGACCTCATAGTAGTGTTGCTTAGATGACAAAGCAAATAAAAACACTTTTAATACCCTTTGCTTGATACCTTGTAGTAGTCGTGCTTACCCAAAAAACAAACCTACATCTTCCACCTTGCATTTAATATTTAGAAAGTAATAAAATAAAAGAATCAAATGAACAAACATTTATTTACTCAACATAAATAACATTTTTGTCTTTTTGCTAAATATTTTTTATTAAAAATTTGATGTCAAGATAAGGTTGAAGTCCTCTCTGTTACTTCTTTTTTTTTTTTTTTGAGACGGAGTTTCGCTCTTGTTACCCAGGCTGGAGTGCAATGGCACAATCTCGGCTCACTGCAACCTCTGCCACCTGGGTTCAGGCAATTCTCCTGCCTCAGCCTCTTGAGTAGCTGGGATTACAGGCACACGCCACCGTGCCCAGGTAATTTTTTGTATTTTTAGTAGGGGTTTCACCATGTTGACCAAGATGGTCTTGATCTCTTGACCTCGTGATCCACCCGCCTCGGCCTCCCAAAGTGCTGGGATTACAGGCGTGAGCCACCACGCCCGGCCCTTTTTTGTATTTTTAATAGAGATGGGGTTTCACCATGTTGGCCAGGATGGTCTCGATCTCTTGACCTCGTGATCGCCCACCTCGGCTTCCCAAAGTGCTGGAACTAAATCTTTACTCTTTAATAATCTAGATTCAAGTATAGAATCCTGGTTATAGAATTCCTGCTGGATGGTTAGTTTTCTTCAATAATTAGAAGATAATATTTTGTAATCTATTAGCATTTGTTCTTGCTGATGAGAAGTGTCAGTCTAACTGTTACCTAGATAACAAGCTCTCATTTCTCTCTGATAACTTTAAATATTTTCTTTTTGTCTTTGTTGTTATGGAATTTCATTACAATGTAGGAAATACCTGTGGATTTATGTGCATGTAATGTGTATATATATAAATATAATATCCTATTTCTTCAATCTGAGGATTTTTTTATTAGAGAATATGAGCCACATTCTTTGTATATATTATCCACATTATCTTTTTTTTTCTTACCTAGTGGGACTCCTTCCTGTGAGGCAGATGATTCATCTTTTTATTGTTGTATCTAAAGTCAATTCTCTTTTGTATTTTTTATCTTTTTTCTTTCTATACTGTATTTCTGCCTCCTAGCTCTCTTTAGCTAAGTCTAATTTATAGTTCTACTAATTCTTTTATTTTTTTTCCCTAGTTTTTTAAAGTTCTTTTTGGAATTCATCTTTTTATGTTGTCTTTTCCTTGATTTATATGCCCTTATAAAATATTTTAAACATGCTTATATTAATACTCATATTATTTTGCTTTTATTTCTTAGGATATAAGTTCTTCTGTTCATTAGCAAGTAGCTTTTGCTGTTGGTGTGGCTTCTAATTTTTTCTTACTGTGATTCCCATCAATATAGATTGTTTTCCTGTGAGTTCTGTGTGTTGGGAGTTGTAGATGTATTATATAAAATATTTTTAGATTTTATTTGACTCTAGGGATACTTCTGATTCCAAACCAGTTTTTTAGTTAATTTTTCACTTGTAATTCCTATGCCATATATGTATGAAACTTTAGACCTCATACTTAATTGCATAGCTGAGACAGGGATTCTAATTTCATGTGTCTCTTTTCCTTTATGACCCTGGGCAGCTTTCTTGCCAATTTCCTTGAATGGGAGAGTGAGTTTTCTAAACCAAGCTTCAGCAATGGCTTTATGCAGGTAACTCAGTTTCCATTTCCCTATACACATGGCGCTTCCCTTCTTGCCTGGGCATTTTAATGTGTTAGTTCCCAGCTATTAAGACCTGATACTTAGTGAGACCATCTTAGTTTTAACTTTGCCCACCACTCTAAATATTAGTGTAATTTATATTAGGTAGATATGTACCTTTCTCAATGTTAAGCTTGGTTATGTCTTTTATAATAGGTTATATTTTATCCGTAATAATAAGATATTTACTATCTTGGCAAATAATAATCTCATATATGGAATACAAAAAAGAAAAAAATTAATATTCCGTTTCTGATATTCAAAAAACAGCTGTGAGAGACAATTTTCTGTTTTCCTTTGGTCCCCCTTTAACACATAAACAACCAAGCATGGAAGATGCATTTTATAACTATACTTTCAATTTTTGCATGGTCTGATGGGCTGGATTAATCAGTTAGTAGAAGGACACTGAGATAAGATGAAGGTGGGCATAAAAAAATCATTAAAACAGGCTCTACTCCAGCTTAGTCTCATGTACCTAGCACATTCACATATTCTCAAGATATTTATTTCCTCATTTTTTGTTGCCTTCTGTTGCACATAATAAATTAGGAGTTATATACTCATTTGTTAATTTAACAAGCATTTATCAAGTTTTACTTTTCTCCAGGCACTATTTTAAGCACTAGGGACAGCAGTAAACAATATTTCTGCTTTAATAAAACATTCTTCTTCTTCTTTTTTTTTTGAGATGAAGTCTTGCTCTGTCACCCAGGCTGGAGAGGAGTGGCACAACCTCAGCTCAGCTCACTGCAACCACCGCCTCTCAGGTTCAAGCAATTCTCCTGCCTCAGTCTCCTGAGTAGCTGGGATTACAAGCGTATGCCACCATACCTGGCTAATTTTTGTATTTTAAGTAGAGACAGAATTTTGCCATGTTGGCCAGGCTGGTCTCAAACTCCTGACCTCAAGTGATCTACTTGTCTTGGCTTCCCAGAGTGCTGGGCCAATATGCTGGCCAATAAAGCATTATTCTGATTATGCACGTAGGGAGGGGTCAAATCAGGTAATAAAGAAATAAACCAAAAATTTAGTATGTGTCAGGATTTTATAAGCGCACTGACAGAAGACAAAGCAAAGTAATGGGGACAGAGTATGAGCAGAGGGTGTAACTTTACATATAGTAGTAGAGAAAGCTGTCTAATGACATATGAGCAGAAATCCCCCTAAATGAACTTGGATCCATTTGTCTATCTGTGCAAGATCATTACAGGCAGCAGGTTTGACAGGACCATACTCAACCTGCTGTAAGAATGCAGGGAATGGAGTGAGTAAGGTGAGAATATGGTTAAGTCAGGTTAGGTAAATGGCAGAGGGGATTATGTAAGTTCACTTTGACTTTGAGGGAGACAGAAAACCTGGAGGATTTTAAGTATAAGAATGCCAGGATATGTTTGATGATTTAAAGAAAGCATTGACCCTTCATGCTTTAAGGAAACATCAAATGTATCCAGAAGACAAGAGTGGAAGTATGAGCACTACCTAGGCTGATGTTTCAGTAGTCCAAACTAGAGACAATGGTGGTTTTATCCAGGTGGTCAACGTGGAGGTAGTGAAAAGTGGTTGGATTCTAGATATGTTTCACAAGTGAAGACAGCAGGTTGGTTCAAGGGATGTGGAGAGAAGATAAATACGGAGTTGAGGATGGTCCTGAGAAATTTGGTCTAAGCAACTGGAAAAGTAGAGTTGTTATTTAATGAAATGGGGGTAATTTGTAGAAAGAACAGACATGGGCATAAATATTAAGGGCATGGTATAGATATGTGAAGTTTGAGATAACTGCAAAATATTCAAGATGCTGAGTAGCGAATAGGGCTTGGTGATATAGTTTTGGGAGCCCTCAGCATAAAGACAGCAATTAAAGGCATGACATTATACAAAATCATGTAAGGAGTGAGTGTCAATAAAAAAGAGAATGGAGCCTTGGGTTATGCCATTGTCTAGAGCTCATAAAGATGAGGATGACCAGAAATGGATATGAGAAACAGTAGCCAGTAAGGGAGAAAGAGAACTAAGAAAGGAAATAACTAGTGGACTCTTGGAAGCTGTGATGAAAATGATATAAGAAACTAGGGGAGTGATCAATTCATCACATGTTTCTCAGAGATTGGGTAACATGTGGAATGAGACTTAGAGTTGGTGACATGGAAGGCAATGATAACTTCCTTATTCTATCTCTGATGATACAATATAGCATCATAGAGCATCTGGATATCTTGCAAATTATTTTGCTTAAATTATTTTACAGATTGGGATTCAGGAGGATGACTTTTTCTATGACATAGTCTCTTGGTTGCAAAATAAATGTGTGTGATTACAAAATAATTAGATTTTTTAAAAAAGATCAGAGAACCCCACACTATTGCAGTACTGCCTTGAAAGTCTGTATTTTTATTCCACTGCTCCTGCTGTTCTAAGTCATTTTTGTGACATACTTCAAATTGTTTTCAAAACTATATTAAAAGCGACTCATCAGAAAGACTAACATTATTTATAATTGGTAGTTCTCATCATGCTTTGATTTTGGGTAGCTCTTACTTGCCATCACAGATATTGTTCAGAATAAATGATGTAGAATGAGAAGAAAGATACAACAGATTTCATGAATGGCACTACTAATGGGTAAAGTTGTACTCTCCTGAGAAGAGGCAGGTATTATCTGTGTAAACAATTCTGGTGTTGATATACATATTATAGGTTAAAAAAATAGTTCTGCTGACCTACATTTCCTTATGTGCAGTGGTTATTCCTTTAATGGTTCTCTTGAATCTCTTTTGGGATGTTAATTTTTACCCTATATTCTTGTCAGAAGGGCTGAATTATCAGCAAAAACCTATATATATATTCCCAGTTAGGAATGTAACTCTTCCAAATGGCTAAGAGGTGTTAAAGATTAAACCAAGTATATCTTTTAAGATTTATTCTTTTTCCCTGGAGGAATTTGGAAATTGTTCTGTGCCCTCATTAGAATTATCAGGGAAATGGTGTTGGTAATTTAATTTCAAATAATTATATCATTATTCAAATAAGAGAGAAAGTGATTTTAAAAGCTGTATATTGATTCAAGGTGAGATGGTTGACTAGATGCAGCTAGGAGGAACATCTGTTTCCTGGGCACTGGGACATAGGGAAGACTGGTGCACCCCGAGCAGACCTTCAGAAGGAAGGCATTGGGAGTGAATGGAGGGAGGACACAGACTCTGGGCTAAGGGAGGAGGAAGCTGTGCACTGTGCACAGGGCTACTGAGCACTGAGACTCATTCCCGGCCCCAAAGACTCCTGGAGTAGGGGTGAGTTGGCCAAATGAGAAGTAATCTACTCTTGCTGTGGACCTCTTGAATCCTGGCATCAGGAAACCCCATGACCCTCGTGAACACTCACTCGAATTGGCAGGGAGAGCTGTTTGGAAAGGTGGTAAGGGGCAGTCCTCCAGCCTTTGCAGAGCCCAGAGGGTCTGGTGCAGGAATGTCTGCAGGGGAGCATGGCCAGGGACACCCATCCCCTAAGGCTCACATGCATTCCTAGGAGACTTTAGCCTTAGAGGAACTGAGGGACCCAAACAGTTCAAGGTGATTTAGCCATGTGAGTCACAGCCAGTCCAACCTGAATGCCCTGTGTCTGCTGACCTCTCTCCCAATGCCCCAGCCTGGCCTTGCCTGCTTGCAGTGCAGCCTTGGATGCTCAAGGGGTGCCTCCTGGAGACTGCATCATAGCTCCTGTGCTGGCAGACTGTGCCTGACTGTCAGAGAGTTCCAGCAGAGCAGCTCCTGCCAACATGTACCAGCCACCTGCATCCTTCCCCCACTGCAGCCATTCCCATGCCATTCTGTCATCATGCACGTATCTACAGCCACCTCCATCACTTTGCCAGGACAGGTATGGGCAGACCTCGCTTAGCCTTCTCCACTGGCATATCCACTGGCAAGAATAAGCACACAGAGGCAGGCGGTCTCATGCCTACCAGTGCCCTGGCCTGGTGCTGACACTGCTGTACACGGATCCCAACTGCCCTGCTCTCCCCTCCCACCTCATTCAGCCACCTTTATTTCTTCCAATGCCCACATGGAGCTGGCAGCCTCTGGTGTGCCAGTGCCCCACCCCAGCCAACCAGTATGTACCCCACAGCACTACCACTGCTGCTGGCATGAGTGAATGAGCACAGATCCCCTTGCCACTGCCCAGCAAAGCACTTTGGCTGGTGCCACCCTTCTGAGTGTTGTGACTAGCAATCTAGGAACATCTTGGCTTTTCCGGTGCAGCAGATTCTCAACCTTGAAGCAGAGGGTAAAACAAAGCCAGAGAATCCACACCAGCCCCATTGAGTTAGAACAAGTAGCCCAGGAGTGCTGAGCTGAGCCTTGATTCCTCCCTCCAACAAAAATTTTACAGGAAGCAAAGCTAGTCAACTGAACCTACCTCATGCTACAATCAAACCCTCATGGGCATCAAAGAAGATAAAAGCAAAGCAAACAACAACAAACCCAACCCAGAAACAACAACAGCAAAACAAAAATCATCCAAAGGACAGCAATTTTGAAGACTGAAGGAACAGGAACGTCAGTCAACACAGACGAGAAAGAACCAGCACAAGAATTCTGACGACTCAAAAAGCCAGAGTGTCTTCTTACCTCCAAATGACTGTACTAGTTTCCTGGCAGTGGTTCTCAGGCGAATATGGATAGGAATAAAGATCATCAACATTCAGTAGAAAGCCAAAATCCAATCCAAGGATTCTAAGAAACACAATAAAACAATATAGGAGATGAAAGACAAAGTGGCTATTTTAAGAAGAGAATCAAACTGAGCTGATAAAGCTGAAACTCTCACTTCAAGAATTTCAGAATACAATTGCAAGCATTAACAGCAAAATCAAGGAAGCCAAGGAAAGTATCTCAGAGCTTGAAAACCTGCTCTCTGAAATAACTCAGACAAAAAAAAAAAAGGAATTAACAATACCTCTGAGAAATGGGATTATGGGCCAGGCGAGGTGGCTCATGCCTACAGTCCCAGAACTTTGGGAGGCTGAGGTGGGGGATCATGAGATCAGTTTAAGACCAGCCTGGTCAATATAATGAAACCTCATCTCTACTAAAAATACAAAAATTAGCCAGGCATGCATCTGTAGTCCCAGCTACTTGGGAGGCTGAAGCAAGAGAATTGCTTTAACCCTGGAGGCGGAGGTTGCAGTGAGCCAAGACTGTGCCATTGTACTCCAGCCTGGGCAACAGAGCAAGACTGTCTCAAAAGCAAGCAAACAAACAAAACACCACCACAGTGTTGTGAAGCTTATTTTTATTTTATTTTTTGAGATTGGGTCTCACTATGCTGCCCAGGTCGTTCTTGAACTTTTGGGCTCAAGCAATCGTCCTGTCTCAGCCTCCTGAGTAGCTGGTATTGTAGGTCACACAACTAACTGCACCTGGCTGTGAAACCTATTTTAAAAAAAATATTGAGTGGTACTAGGTTTTAAAGCATGGATGGTACTAGGATTTAAAGTATGATTGAAGAGATTACTGGTCATGAGTACATATACTAACTGGATCCTAGCAGAACCTGTCACTGGGTTTGCCTCTGTGAAATGTATTCTTAAATTTCAGAAGTCTACATCTACTTCCTGTGCATCAGTTCTATTTTGTCAAGTGTGAAATCACTAGGAGCCTACTTTCTTGTTCTAACCTTGCTGCTAAGCTTGTAGCCCATTGGATAAGTCAGATATCCTTTCTGGAACTCTGAGTTTTCTGTGAAAGGGGGCTTGATGCAATTTGTTATAAATAATGTTTTACTGGAAAACAGACCAAAAAGTGGGAATTTACTCTAACTCAGAACTTTGATGAATCAAATCAGCTCTGTTATATATGCATTCTATCAGGCAGAAAAAGTTAATAATGCTTAAGTTTATTGTGTTCCCTTCCTACTGCACCCTAGAACTAAGACTTTGCAAAGCCAAGAATATATCACAGGAAGAGTTTATGTTTCCCCTGGCACTGCCAGTTGAATGATTGAATGAAAGCTGGTAGGTGGTAAAACAGCCTGGAAGTCCTCTCTTGCTTTGAAAATTGTAGGTTCATCTTTCCTGCTTATCTTATTTATAAACAAGCCTGGTGGTTTAGTAGAGAACTTGCAACCACCTAGAACCAAAATGCAAAGCCTTGGCCAGCTCTTCAATGCACTTGTGGTCTGACAAAGGTAACTTCCTTTCAAGCTGGATCAGAAGTTTCCTAGAAAGGACAGCTTGCATTTTCTGTTATTCAGTCACACTTCTGAAATTTCTTAATAAAAAATTTTTATGTTATATGTAGTAATATGCAAATATATCTAATTATAAGTATATATCTGGGGTATTTAGACATCTAGACAAATAGAGAAAAAATGTTTTCTCTATTTGATCCCATTTTTCAGCCACGTTTTACTGTACATAATGGATGACCACTTAGAAGGCTCAAGATATTTTAATTTCACTGTTTATTTGTCAACTCTGATCTCATTGCTTTGTAGTTTCATGCTGTATCTCTTTTCTTTCTTAAAATGAATAAGCATGTAAGCCACTTGTTTGGCAAAAGCCCAGGCATTTTTAAGCTCTGTTGCTTGCAAAGTCATCCTTTGCAGTAATTTTGTGTTGCACTGTGATGGTGATAATTAAGATGTTCTACTTTCTGTCCAGTGACAGAAAATATGATTATTTTGGGCCAAAGTCTTAAGATGCTGTACTCTGAAAGAAGCCAGAAGAACAGTTATTGATGCAGAGCAATATTAAAGCAGTTCAGTAGTAACACTGAAGAGTTTTTCATTTCGACAAAGACTTCTCTCTTTTTTTGTATTTTTAGTCGATATATCATAATTGTATTCACAATGCTTCTTCTAAAACAAAAACTGTGGATCAGGTAGCTAAAGAAACAATGCGTTTTATGGATTAAGAGAGTAGACTTTGGCATCAAATTGGCATGGGTGTGAATTCTACATCTTTTTTTTTTAAAGTATTTATTTGGCTATGTGATCCTGCCCTTGTTTAGCATCTAAGCTTTAGTTTTTTAATCTGTAAAATGGAATTAATATATCGAAACCACTATGAAATTCAAGTGATGTTATGAATAGGAAGTACTCAATATAATAGTTGACATGTTGTAAATTCTGAATATATGGCTAAGACAAATAGTATTCCATTATTCAAACGTATTTTCTGTTTAACTTTCTGTAATGTAGTTTCTGTATAATTTTCTGTAAAAAGTTATAACTCATACTGTTTCCATATGCAAATTCACCATGGTAATGCCAATGAAAATGTTTGAGTCAGTATAGAAATGTAATGAGCTTGGCCTGTAGCCAAGTATTTAAGAAGTGTTTTGGATCGTTTGTAGCTCTAGAGGCTGCAATAGTAAATCTTCCAATATAGTTTTTTTTCTGATTAACATTTTTAAGTTTTAGATTCCTCCCTTAGGATAGTGAACTCTTTCAGGAATGGATTTGAAAACATAGAATGGTAATTCTGGAACTATAAACATATTGGCAGCATAATTAGACATTAAAATGGAGAAGTTACATTGAATTGAAATGTCCAGGGAAAATAAGATAGGAAGATTTCTTTGACAAAATTTGTTAAGAGTTATCCATGTACATTTTATGGTAATACTCTTGATACGTGTAGAAATCAGGCAGTTGTACATTATCTTTATATAGAGATGATAATTGTCTAACAGCATTAATGCTTTCCAACTTACCAAATGAGCCACTTGTTGCTGGATTTTTAGATTCTTAAGCTGGAGTTTGGTGTGAATAGATTGGTGAAAATATGGGAAACACTGAAAAATTTTTTAAAGGAAACAAGTCAGTCCTTGAAAAATCATTAGAAGTTATAGATTTTAAGAATAAGAATGTTTATAATAAGTTGGTATACAAGCAACTTTTTATGGGCTAGAGGGTATAACTTATTTCCAAACCCAATTCAAATTGATACTTTTAAAACATAAAATGATATACAACAATCACAGCATCTGTTTTAAAATATGGTTTGTTTTTTACAAAATCTGTACTGACCATATACTCCATGTGAGTCATTTATTTGAGAAGCTAAAATCATTTCTTTTCTGACATGGACAGAATAACTGTCATAAAATATAATGGGCAAGTAGAAGGAGCTAATTTTATGCTCACATTCATGCTGTAAATCTCCTATAATTAAGATTTAAATGCGTAAATACCGTATAATGATGAATACAATTACTTGGATCATAAAACAAATGCTTAGGATTTGAGGCTGGCAAAGACCCTTCATCAGCAGAATGCCTTTCTGATAGGCATACTCTAGTTTGGAATGGGATAATTCAGACCAAGGATTTTGGGAACAGTTTGCTTGGCTGTAGCGAGGGGGCCATAGGAAGGTTCTAGAGTAGATGATTGTAGGGAGACTAACCTTCAAGGAGTCTAGTGACAGTCTAGATAAGTGACCATTATTTGTAGGAAAGCCCAGTGTTATGATGCAGGCAATCATTTTGGCAAAGACACAGAAGATGGCATCACCAGGGCCTGGCTGCTGGCAATGGTCAGAAATCCAGGTGGGCTTGGGAGGATGAGGTGGGCAGATCACAAGGTCAGGAGGTTGAGACCAGCCTGGCCAACATAGTGGAACCCTGTCTCTACTGAAAACACAAAAATTAGCTGGGCATGGTGGCATGCACCTGTATTCCCACCTACTTGGGAGGCTGAGGCACGAGAATCACTTGAACCCAGGAGGCAAAGGTTGCAGTGAGCCAAGATTGCACCAGCCTGGGTGACAGAGTGAGACTCAGTCTCAAAAAATTAAAATGAAGTAAAACATGTTAAGTACCCAAAAACAGAACTTTAAAAAAAGACAAGATTAATTTCTGCCTCTAACATTTGTAAACCAGAATAAATATGAAATGAAAACAAACATTTTTATAAAAGTTTCCAAGTAGCTGGGACTACAGGTATGTACCACCACACCCACCTAATTTTTATATTTTTAGTAGAGAGGGAGTTTCACCTTGATGGCCAGGTTCTCTCAAACTCCTGGCTTCAACTGATCCACCCACCTCAGCCTCCCAAAGTGCTGGGATTATAGACGTGAGCCACCGTCCCCAGCCAGGGACTTAATCTTTATTGCAATCAACAGAACATACTGTGATAGAACATAATTATTTTGTAAAATTAAAATATTATGTATTTGAAAGTAGAACTCATGGACTTTTAAGTGATAAAAGCCAGTCTTTTGGAGGAATTTAAAACAATGGGTTCCAAATGCCACTCCATGATCTAGTGCCATAGTAACACTCTCATATTCTGAAGAATTTGTTTAATAATACAAATTATTGCTCCCTTGCAACTACCCATCTAAAGACAGTCTCATTCAGTAGCTCCAAAAGCTTTAGGCATTTGGTTGTGTAATTTTATCTCATACCCCCTTCTAAGAATCCCTCCCCAAAGAAGTGGCTTACCTCCTTTCTAAAGTCGATTTCTTCACATGGGTTCTAAATACTGTGTGTTCTCACTCCAGGATCTCTTTCCTCCCACTCACATCTCCCCCCATCAATTAGGTTATGGTTTTGTTTCCCTTTACTTTAAATTCTCATAAGCCGTTAACTCCTTCACATGTTCACAAGTCTCCCATTTTTTTTTTTTTTTTTTTTTTTTTGAGACGGAGTTTCACTCTTGTCACCCAGGCTGGAGTGCAATGGCGCGATCTCGGCTCACCGCAACCTCCGCCTCCTGGGTTCAGGCAATTCTCCTGCCTCAGCCTCCCAAGTAGCTGGGATTACAGGCGCGCGCCACCATGCCCAGCTAATATTTTGTATTTTTAGTAGAGACGGGGTTTCACCATGTTGACCAGGATGGTCTCGATCTCTTGACCTCGTGATCCACCCGCCTCGGCCTCCCAAAGTGCTGGGATTACAGGCGTGAGCCACTGCGCCCGGCCAAGTCTCCCATTTTTTAAACAAATTAACATTTTGCCTCTATTCCTTTTCTAGCTGTTATTTTATTCCTGTATAATTTATTGTGCCCATTTTTTCTCTACCTCCATTTCCTTGATGTAGCCGTCTGGCATCTTTCCTCTTTCATGCCAAATCTAGAGGCTGTTTTTCATTCTCCTCTACTCTTCTGCTGCTGTTTCTCCTTTCTTCTTGAAACTTCTGTCTTTGCTTGGCTCCCCTGGCATCCTACCATCCTGGCTCTTTTCTTGGCCTTTTAGACATATCTTTTCTGCCTTAGTCTCTCAATAAGATTTCTTTCCCCTGTAATGAGGACCACCAGTAAACCAACCAGAGAGCGCTACTCCTTCATGGATCATTCTCTGAGATCATCCATTCTTCTAACTTCTGTTGAGATAACTTACAAATCCTTATCACTGATTCTAGCTTATTCCTGATATTTTACGTATGTCACTACTATTTGATATTTTCTCTTAAATTTCTAAAAGCCAGAATCAAAATGCTGAAAAAATAACAATGATATCTTCTTTGCCAAATAGATGCTTTTACAGAAATAACAGAAATCCTTGAGTTACTCTATTATTAATCTACCTACTAAGTAATTTATATTTATAATCTAAGTAATTTTGAGATATTTCTAATGTATTTCTAAAAAATACATGAAATCCAAAAAATAAAATAAACTTAGTTTGTATCATGAAGAGGAGAGGTAAGTATAACAGAAATGACTTTTGTTAACCAATCTTTTAAAATGCCTTTTGAAAATGCAAAAAAAATTTTTAAACATCTATAAAAGTATATATGAAAACAGTTTACAAGTACTCAAAAAAGTAAGTTTATTTATACATTTTTTCAGCAAATCATGAACTGAATGGCGTTTTCCTATATCACTTGGTTTTTTTTTTACATATTCTGAGTATCAAGATGTGCATAATAATATAAAATTAGAAATGTCATTTTATTAAAGAAAAAACCATTAAAATCTCATAAGCTAAATTTTAAATTCTCATTTTATCCATTTTAATAATGTTAAAATATAAATTTTGATTGAGACACAAGATATATTAAATATGGCATTCCATAGTCAGATGCTGGACCAACATTGCAATTTTCAGAAGTATCTAAAAAACCATATAATTCTTAAATCCCATACCAGATCAATATTACTGGCATAATAAACATAATAAAAATTGAGAGCAGATGTTTGCAGAGCTTCTGTGCATGATAAACCTACAAACCACAATATAAGGGAGAGGTTTGTAGGTGCCTGATCCTTACCTTTCAGTTTAATATGTGACCCTCAAGGTTTCAAAGTGATATGGTACAATGGCATCTGACTTTTGCCTGGAATATCTAAAAAATGAGAGGGTGGCTATTCAGTTGCTCTGATGGAGAGAGCTGTGATAGAATCAGCCTATACTCCTCGAGTTTCTTTGGTCAAAGTATGTATATTTGCTGTGGGCCGGCCACATGTGGTCATGTTTGAGAGAGTGCTGATGTGGGGTTGTCTTAAGTCTGATCCAGAAGAGCCACCTGAAGAGAAAACAAGGCCTCAGAAGAATTTGTGTCACCAGATGCACATAGATTGAAGAAGGAATAAGTAGCTAATTAGAATCAAGATATGTTTCTCTTTGTTAAAAAAACAGAAGGTGAGTGAGTCAAAAGGTGAAGGGGAGGGTGCCCATAAGATAGCAAATCAGCTTTAAACACGAGTCCAGTTTAAAACAATAGCAGTCAGGTAAAAATTTTCTTGTTCTTATACCTCTTCTTCACCACTGCAACCCTAGATGGGTCAGAACACTGGTGAGAAGGGGTAAAAGTACAGAAAGGGAAAGAGAGACAGCTGGCCTTGTCCTCCTTCCTCACACTGGGGCAACTGGCTGCAATAACAGAAGGAGCCTCAACTTTAAATCAAGGTTGTAGTTTTGGTTATTACACTGAATTGCCAGACATACTGAGTAATGGACTGAAACTCTGTTTGTACTTTCAAACAATAGGGCACTCTATACCTAAAAGTGACCTGGAAAGTCATGAGACATAAATTAAATTCATCCAGGTGTAAGGGGAAGTTGGGCTAACTGACATGCACACACTGAATAATACACACTACAATTTGTGTCTGTCTTCATAGAAAGGCTGTATACTCAGACATGTACACACACATATGATGCAAAATGCATACAAAACTATATCATGGTGTTAATTATTAAAATTTCATTTAGTAAATTATGTAATTCAAAATTTAGTTAACACACCATAAAATGTAATGCAGTGATATTTCAAGAAAACCCACAACTAGAAAATTCTTCTAAATTATGAGAATTTGTAAGAGGACTTATTTTTATCAACTGTTCCTTTATTATAAATAAAAAGAAATTAAACTTGGGATGCAGTGAATAGATTATGTTGATTGATGAAATGAATACATTAAAGTTTCATTTTAACATAATATTTGTGAAGGCAAGTCCTGAAAATAATAAGCAAAGCTGAAGAGTACTTAAAAGAAGATTTAAAATAACTTACATAAGCAGTACAACAGGTATGCATGTGAAAGATATTATAAAGAATCAGGTTTATTCTTGTTTTTAAGAACCCTCAGCTCCCCTATTCAGTCAAGGATATCTGCTTTCTTATCCATCTCAGCAAAAAGATTTATAATTCCATCACAGGGCCTAATTTTCTTTTACAAAGTCTGTGGTATTCACTGCAATAGACTATGGAAACAATTCATTACACAGGCTTACAGTTGGACTGGTTTATATTACCCATACTTTACAATAATGAATTTGGAGGAGATGCAAAATAAAAAGGCAAATCATGGCCAAACTGAGAGTTAACCATTCAGAACACTGAAAGCTGTATACTTCTAATTTTATCAACAGTTATATACGTTAGGAAAAAAATTTCTTTCAATATCACATTTTAAACACCAAGTAATCCTACTCTGCTGAATTATTTTTGCAACGAGCCTACAGAGGGTTTTACCGTACAATTATAACTTTTGGAGATCTAACAGTTTTTTGGTAGCTAATCCTTTCCTCTTATGTTGAACAAGTTTGTAGTAATACCTTTGACTCCTTCTCAATATTTACATATAGCCAGTACTGTCCTTAATCTTCCTCTTTTCTCCATTTGCTTTCCTATTTATCTTTGTGTTTTCCATTGGCATTTTCAACTCAGAGGACAAGAACATCTGCGCGAATGTTTTCATTCCTCTCTGTAAATTCCTCAATGAGCAGGAACAATATCATATTCTTATTTGTAACCCTCACTACCCTTGGCTCAATGTTTTGCACATATGATATTCCCAAAGCATATTTGATGACTTACTCTAAGATGAGAGGGCCTTTCCTAACCTGAACCACAGTCCTTAAGGATAGCTCTCTGCTGTCAGTCAGATTTTCCACTGCGTATATGCCTACCTAGAATTCTTTTTCTTTTTCTTCTTCTTTCTTGAGACTAAGTTTTGCTCTGTCACCCAGGCTGGAGTGCAGTGACATGACCTTGGCTCACTGTAACCTGCGCCTCCCGGGTTTAAGCAGTTCTCTTTCATACAGCTATGTATGGAAGACCTGCTACTAACATTTTAGTAATGAGCAAAAGCTGCAAGCATGTCCTTTGAAACTGGAACAAGAGAAGAATCCCCACTCTCATCACTCCTATTCAACATAGTATTGGAAATCCTGGCCAGAGCAATCAGGCAAGAGAAAGATATAAAAGGTATCCACATTAGAAGAGAGGAAGTCAAACTATTCCTTTTTGAGACAATATGATTCTTTTCCTGGAGAATCCTACAGTCTCTACTCAAAAACTCCTTGAACTGATAAACAAATTCTGCAATCAGGATACAAAATCAGTGTACAAAAATCAACAGCCTTTCTATATACCAACGACATACAAGTTGGGAACCCAATAAAGAATTCAATCTCATTCCCAATAGCCAAAAGAAAAATAAGGTACCTAGGAATACAGCTAACTATAGAGGTTAAAGGTTTCTACAATGAGAATTACAAAACTGCTGAAAGAAATGAGAGATAACAGAAACAAAGGAAAAACATTTCATACTCATGGATAGGAAGAATCAGTATTGTTAAAATGGCCATACTGCCCAAAGCAGTTTACAGATTCAATGCTGTTAATATCAAGCTACCAATGACATTCTTCACAGAATTAGAGAAACTATTTTAAAATTCATATGGAACACAACAAAAAGCTTCAATAACCAAGGCAACCCTAAGTAAAAAAAATGATGGGGGCATTTTACTGCCTAACTTTATTCTACAAAACTAGAGTAACCAAAACAGCATGATACTCTTACAGACACATACAGCAATGGAACAGAATAGAGAGCCCAGAAATAATGCCATACACCTACAACCATATTATCATCAAAAATGTTGATAAAAACAAGCAATGGAGAAAGGACTTCTCATTCAATAAATGGGAGATATGAACCAAGACCCTTTCCTTACACCAACATACAAAAATAACTCAAGATGGATTAAAGTCTTAAATGTAAAACCTGAAATTATAAAAACCATGGAAGGTAACCTAGAAAATAACATTCTGGACACAGGCCTTAAAAATTTCATGACTTAGACGCCAAAAGCAGTTGCAATAAAAACAGATATTGACAAATGAGACCTAATTACATGAAAGAGCTTCTGCACAGCAAAAATAACCATCAGCAGAGTAAATAGACCACCTTCAGGGTGGGAGAAAAATATTTGTAAGCTACACATCTGACAAGGTTCTTATATCCTGAATCTATAAAGAACTTAAACAAATTAACAAGCAAGAAATCCCCAAACAATCTCATGCAAAAGTGGGCAAAGGACATGAACAAATACTTTTCTTAAGAAGAGTTATGTGTGGCCAAGAAGAACATGAAAAAATGCTCAACATACAAATTATTAGAGAAACAATAATCAACAACCACAGTGAGATACCATCTTATACCAGTCAGAATAGCTATCATTAAAAAGTCAAAAAAATGACACATGCGGGCAAGGTTGTAGAGAAAAGGGAATATTTATACACGACTGGTGGGAATGTAAATTAGTTCAGCCATTGTGAAAAGCAGTTTGGTGATTTCTGAAAGAACTTTAAAAATAACTACCATTCAACTCAGCAATTCCATTATTGGGTATATAAGAAAAAGGAAAAGAAATCATTCTGCAAAATAGAAAATGCACTTGTATGTTTATTTCAGTACTTTCACAATTGCAAAGACATGGAATCAACATGAATGCCCAACAGTGGTAGACTGGAGAAAGAAAATGTGGTACATATACACTATGAAATACTACACAGCCAAAAAAAAAAAAAATGGATGAGATCATCTCCTTTGCAGTAATATGGATGGAGCTGGAGTTCAGTATCCTAAGCAAAATAACATAGGAGCAGAATACCAAATACTGCATGTTCTGACTTATAAGTAGGAGCTAAACACTGAGTAGACATGGACACAAAGAAGAGAACAGCACACACCCAGGCCTACTTGATGACAGAGGGAGGGAGGACATGAAGATTGAAAACTACTTAAGAGGTACTATGCCTATTACCTGGATGACAGAATAATCTGTATAATAAATCCTCATGACATGCAATTTACCTATATAATAAACCTGCACATGTACCCAGAACCTAAAATAAAAGTTTGTAAGAAATAAATAAAAAATAAAATGAAGAAGTATTTGCTAAGGGATATTTTTATTTTGGAGGTTAGTATATTAATAGGTATGTGATGCATATTAACTAGCATAATCTGAGAAATTTGTAAAGGAAAATATCATCTTGCTAAGTGATTAGATCTCTGCCAAAAATAAATTTACAGTTGTCGTAAGAATTGAAAATTTATGTGGTTTATGGATAGAAGGCTTACAAAATCACTATGATTTTCATTCAGATTAGTGTGTGATTTATTTCAGTAGAAAACTTTGTTTGTGATAACAACATGAACCACTGCTAAGAATTCAATGCATTGTAAACATAGACACATTCCAGTCATAGAAACATGTACACTGTGAAGGATAAGTAGATATTTATCAAATTATACATACATATACATATCAGCATATTTGTGTGTATATATGTAAAACATTGTAACCATGGCCACCACCTTTAGTAAAGGTGCATGGTGATATGAATGTTTATAATAGGGAATTACCTAATCATGAAAGTTAGGAAACACTTTCCTGAACAACTGATGTTTGAACTTTAACCTCTGGGATGATGTGTTAGAGTTGGCTGATGAATGAGAGTATCCTTACAGGGAGAGCCCCTATAGCAGAAGGAAAAGTAGATGAAAAAATTGTATTTGTACTTAGAATTTAATTTTAAATTTTACTGATATTTGTGTTAATATCATTGTCTAATACTATTCTTTTACATAAGCCTTAATGGAGACCACCCAATTGGTTCCTTCAAAAAAGGTATGTTAATTCATATTAGGGACCTATAGTAGATGTCATAAAACTTACGATTAATTTAAACATTATACCTGTTTAAAATTACAGCTTAGTAATTTCAGTCATTTGTATTATATTAAAATGGGAAGATACACAGTGTTAGAAGTCAGATTAAAGGTCATGTAACTCAACTTGTATGCTGAGTGTTGAGAAAAGAAAACTTGGATGTTCTCTATGGTTATTTGGGTCATTCAGAATGACATGTAGTCCTGAATACATTTTAAAAATTAAATTAGCTTATCAGTTGTCCAATTTAACATGTTTAGATTCATCTTCGTATCTGATAACAATTGTTTGTTTTTATATTTAGTATACTTTGAAAAATCACAGACTTCACATTAACATGTAAGCATTCTAAAAAGACACAAAAGCACATGAATTTAGAATTTAAACTTTGAGGACTTCCGCCAAGATGGCCAAGTAGGAACAGCTCCAGAGCACAGTTCCCAGTGAGAGAGATGCAGAGGGCCAGTGATCCACATTTCCAACCAAGGTACCAGGTTAATTTTGATGGGACTGGTTGGACAGTGGCTGTAGCCCAAGGATGGTGAGCCAAGGCAGGGCAGGGCGCTGCCCCACCTGGGAAGTGCAACTGGCCTAAGGATCAGGGACTTTATCCCCTCGGCATTCAGGTTCAGATACCATGCTTCTCCCATGGCCTCTGCAACCCACAGTCCAGGAGAATGAGGCCGGGCTGAAAAGCACTGCAAGTTACCAAAACAGATCTGAGTGACAGCACCAGCTGGCTCAATGCCATAAGTTGGTACAGATCTGGACAGAAGTTTTGACTAGTGCCAAGATTGCCTGCAAGATGGATCTACCTAGCCCCCAGAAAGAGGGAGAGCTGAAAGCAGGGAGATAGGTGATACTGCTTGTCAGATCCCATGCCAACAAAGAGCGGCAAACTGAAGCCCTCTCACTTGAGAGAGTTTCACAGCTAGCACATCAGTTTGGGCTCTACCTGGGATTGTTGAGCTCAGTGGGGGAAGGGTATCTGCCTTTGTGAAGGCAGGTCTAATCTCACCTGTGTAAATAAAGCCAGAGGAAGCCTACACAGCAGTTGGGCTGAGTCCGAAGCAGCCCAGCAGTGCCTCTGCAGGCAGACAAGGGACAGACTGCCTCCTCAAGCATCTCCCTGACCACTAAATAACCAAAGAAAATGCCTCATACAGGAGAGCGGGAACCCTTCTGGGATGAAACTACCAGAGGAAAGGTCAGGCAACAATCCTCATTGCTCCACAGCCCCCACAGGTGATTCCCAGGCAAGCAAGGTTGGGAGTGGCCCTCTAGCTGTCCTACAGCAGAGGGGCCTGAGTATTAGAAGGAAAATGAAAAAACAGAAAAATATAGTTTCAACATCAAAAGAAAGGACATCCACTCAGAGACCCCATCCGAAATTACCAACTTCAAAGACTAAAGGTAGATAAATCCATTAAGATGGGAAGAAACCAGCACAAAAAGGATGAAATCATTAAAGACCAGAACACCTTTCCTTCTACAAGGGAATCACAACTCCTCACCAGCAAGGGAACAAAACAGGTTGGAGAATGAGTTTGATGAAATGACAGAAGCAGGCTTCAAAGGTGGGTAATAAGCTTCTCTGAGCTAAAGGAAATGTTCTAACTGAATGCAAAGAAACTGAAAACTGTGAAAAAAAGTTTAGACAAAATGCTAATTAGAATAACCAGCTTAAAGAAAAACATAAATGACTTGATGGAGCTGAAAAACACAATATAAGAACTTCATGAAGCATACACAAATTTTAATAGCTGAATTGATGAAGCAGAAGAAAATATATCAGAGATTGAAAATCAACTCAATGAAATAAAATGAAAAGTCAAGATTAAAGAAAAAAGAGTGAAAAGAAATGAACAAATCCTCCACGAAATATGGGATTATGTGAAAAGACCTAATTTATGCTTAATTGGTGTACCTGAATGTGACGAGGAGAATGAATCCAAGCTGGAAAACACTCTTCAGGATATTATTCAGGAGAACTTCCCCAACCTAGCAAAGGAAGCCAATATTCAAGTCCAGAAAATGCAGAGAACACCACAAAGAACTCCTCAAGAAGAGCAACCCCAAGACACATAATCATCAGATTCACTAGGGTTGAAATGAAGGAAGAAAATGCTAAGGGCAGCTAGAGAGAAAGGTCTGGTAACCCACAAAGGGAAGACCAACAGACTCACATTGGATATCTTGGCAGAAATCCTACAAGCCAGAAGAGAGTGGGGGCCAATATTCAACATCCTTAAAGAAAATAACTTTAAACCCAGAATTTAATACCCAGCCAAACTAAGTTTCATAAGTGAAGGAGAAATAAAATCCTTTATGGACAAGCAAATGCTGAGAGATTTCATCACCACCAGACCTACCTTAGAAGAGCTCCTGAAGGAAGCACTAAACATGGAAAGAAACAACCAATACCAGCCACTCGAAAAATGTACCAAATGGTTAAGATAATGACGTAATGAAGAAACTGCATCAACTAACGGGCAAAGCAACCAGCCAGTAACAAAATGGCAGGATCAAACTCACACATAACAACATTAACGTTAAATGTAAATGGCCTAAATGCCCCAATCAAAAAGACACAGACTGGCAAACTGGATAAAAAGTCAAGACCCATACATGTGCTGTATTCAGGAGACCCATCACACATGCAAAGACACACATAGACTGAAAATAAAGGCAGGGAAGAAGATTTGCCAAGCAAATGGAGAGCATAAAAAAAAAGGAGGAGTTGCAGTCCTAGTCTCTGATAAAATGGACTTTAAACAAACAAAGATCAAAAGAGACAATGAAGGGCATTGCATAATGATAAAAGGATCAATGCAACAAGAAGAGCTAATGATCCTAAATGTATATGGACCCAATACAGGAGCACCCAATGCATGAAGCAAGCTCTTAACAACCTACAAAGAGACTTAGACTCCCACACAATAATAGTGGGATACTTTAACACTCCACTATCAATATTAGACAGATCAACCAGACAGAAAATTAACAAGCATATCCAGGATTTGAACACAGATCTGTACCAAGTGGACCTAATAGACATGTACAGAACTCTCCACACCAAATCCACAGAATAAACATTCTTCTCAATGCCACATCATTGGAAGTAAATCAGTCCTCAGCAAATGCCAAAAAAATCAGACCAACACTCAGGATTAAGAAACTCACTAAAAACTGCACAACTATGTGGAAACTGAACAACTTGTTCCCGAATGATTAATGGATAAACAATAAAATGAAGGCATAAGTAAAGATGTTCTTTGAAACCAATGAGAATGAAGACACAAGGTACCAGAATCTCCTGGACACATTTAAAGCAGTGTCTAGAGGAAAATTTATAGTAATAAATGCCCACATGAGAAGCAAGGAAAGATCTAAGAAATAACTAAGATCAGAGCAGAACTGAAGGAGATAGAGACACAAAAAGCCCTTCAAGAAATCAATAAATCCAGGACCTGTTTTTTTTTTTTGACAAGATCAACAAAATAGACAAAGTGCTAGGCAGACTAATAAAAAGGAAAAGAGAGAAGAATCAAATAGATGTGATAAAAAATGATAAAGGGGATATCACCACTGATTCCACAGAAATACAGACTACCATCAGAGATTACTACAAATAACTCTATTCACATAAACCAGTAAATCTGGAAGAAATGGATAAATTCCTGGACACTTGCACTCCCCCAAGACTAAACCAGGGAGAAGTTGAAACTGGATAGACCAATAACAAGGGCTGAAGTTGAAGCAGCAATTAACAGCCTACCAACCAAAAAAAGTCCAGGTGCAGACGAGTTCACAGCCGAATTCTACCATATATTCAATGAGGAGCTGGTATCATTTATTCTGAATCTATGTGACACAATACAAAAAGAGGGAATCCTCCCTAACTGATTTTATGAGACCAACATCATCCTGATACCAAAGCCTGGCAGAGACACAACTGAAAAACAAAACTTCAGGCAATATCTGTGATGAAGATTGATGCAAAAATCTTCAATAAAATACTGGCAAAGTGAATGTAACAGCACATCAAAAAGCTTATCCATCATGATCAAGTAGGCCTCATCCCAGGGATGCGAGGCTGGTTCAACATATGCAAATCTATGAATGTAATCCATCACATAAACAGAACCAAAGACAAAAACCACATGATTATCTCAATAGATGCAGAGTAGGCCTTTGACAAAATTCAATTGTTCTTTATGCTAAAAATTCTCAATAAACTGTGTATGATGGAACAGATCTCAAAACAATAAAAGCTATTTATGACACACCCACAGCCAATATCATACTGAACGGGCAATATCTGGAAGCATTCCCTTTGAAAACTGGCACTAGACAGGGATGCCCTCTCTCAACACTCCTATTCAATATAGTACTGGAAGTTCTAGCTAGAGCAATCAGGCAAGAAAAAGAAATAAAGGATATTCAATTAGGAAAGGAGGAAGTCAAATTGTCTTTATTTGCAGATGACATGATTGTATATGTAGAAGACCCCATTGTCTCAGCCCAAAATCTCCTGAAACTGATAAGCAGCTTCAGCAAAGTCTCAGGATACAAAATCAATGTGCAGAAATCACAAGTATTTCTATACACCAATAACAGACTTAAAGAGACCCATATCAAGAGCAAACTCCCATTCAAGGTTGCTACAAAGAGAATAAAATATCTAGGAATACAACTAACAAAGGATGTAAAGGATCTCTTCAAAGAGAACTACAAACCACTGCTCAAGGAATTAAGAGAGGATACAAACAGATGGAAAAACATTCTATGCTCATGGTTAGGAAGAATCAATATTGTGAAAATGGACATACTACCCAGAGTTATTTATAGACTCAATGTTATCCCATCAAGCTAGCATTGACCTTTTTCACAGAACTGGAAAAAAACAACTTTAAACTTCATATGGAACCAAGAGAGCCTGCATAGCCAAAACAATCCTAAGCAAAAGAACGAAGCTGGAGGCATCATGCTACCTGACTTCAAACTATATTACAAGGCTACAGTAATCAAAACAGCATGGTACTGGTACCAAAACAGAGATATAGACCAGTGGAACAGAACAGAGGCCTCAGAGGCAACACCACACATCTACATCCATCTGATCTTTGACAAACCTGACAAAAATAAGCAATGGGGAAAGGATTCCCTCTTTAATAAATGGTGTTGGAAAACTGGCTAGCCATGTGCAGAAAGCTGAAACTGGACCTGTTCCTTATACCTTACACTAAAATTAACTCTAGATGGATTAAAGATTTAAACATAAGACCTAACACTATAAAAACCCTAGAAGAAAACCTAGGCAATCCCATTCAGGACATAGGCATAGGCAAGGACTTCATGACTAAAACACCAAAAGCAATGGCAACAAAAGCCAAAATAAACATTTGGGACCTAATTAAACTTAAGAGTTTCTGCACAGCAAAAGTAACAATCATTAGAGTGAACTGGCAACCAACAGAATGGGAAAAAATTTTTGCGAACTACCCTTCTGACAAAGGCCTAATATCCAGAATCTACAAAGAACTAAAGCAGATTTACAAGAAAAAAACCAACAAACCCCTTCAAAAGTGGGCGAAGGGCATGAATAGACACTTTTCAAAAGACATTAATGAGGCCAACATATGAAAAAATGCTCATCATCACTGGTCATCAGAGACATGCAAATCAAAACCACACTGAGATACCATCTCATACCACTTAGAATGGCGATCATTAAAAAATCTGGAGACAGCAGATGCTGGAGAGGATGTGGAGAAATAGGAACACTTTTACACTGTTGGTTGGAGTGTAAATTAGTTCAACAATTTTGGAAGACAGTGTGGCAATTCCTCAGGAACCTAGAAATGGAAATTCCATTTGACTTAGCAATCCCATTACTGGGCATATATCCTAAAGAATATAAACCATTCTATTATAAGACACATACACACATATGTTCATTGTGGCACTGTTTACAATAGCAAAGACCTGGAACCAATCCAAATGCCCATTAGTGATAGACTGGACAAGGAAAATGTGGCACATATATGCCATGAGTACTATGCAATCATAAAAAAGGGTGAGTTTTTGTCCTTTTTGGGGACATGAATGAATCTGGAAACCATCATTCTCCACAAACTGGCACAAGAACAGAAAACCAAACACCACATGTTCTCACTCATAGGCTGGTGTTGAGCAATGAGAACACATGGACACAGGAAGGTCTGTTGGGTAGTTGGTTCTAGAGGAGGGACAGTGGTGGGTGGGAGGCTGGGGAGGGATAACACTGGGAGAAATGCCTTATGTAGGTGATGGGGGGATGGGAACAGCAAACCACCATGGCATGTGTGTGTTTCTGCAACAGTCCTGCAAGATCTGCATATGTGCCCCAGAACTGAAAGTACAATAAAAAAAGAAAAGAATTTAAATTCAAGGATTGTTCTTGCCATTTCCTGCACATACTGTATTTGAAAATGCATATGACTTTGCGTTTAAGTAATATTAGATCCGAATGATCTTTCCACATGGAATATTCATATGCCTACGGAAGTATTCATATCTACTCTAGAGATAGTGAACGTATGTCAGAAAGTGACTCTGGGCCACATATATTCACAGCATAAATAAATTCTCACATTGAGGAAATTTTACTTATTTGAATTTTAAAATTGTTCTATTGAATGACAGATAACATTTAGGTGTTAATTACCCAATTATTTTCCTTTAAAAATAATAAACGTAACTTCTGTGAAAAAAACTAGAAAACAGACCTCTATTTATTCTCATGTACTACCAACTTAAATTTTACATAATTTCTAAGTCCAAACCAAATTGTATATCTTTTCTATTCTGAGCAAATAAAAGCAATGTAAAAATTACTTTAAATTCAAAAAACATGAGCTTATACAGTTTTTATTATTATCACATCCCTAATGTTCAGAGCTTTTCAGAAAAAAGGATTTTCATCCATTATTCTAAATTATTTTATTAATTTGTTAAACAGATACTGTCACTTAAAATAAGCCTCTTCCCATCTTTTTTTTCACTAATTACTTTTAGCAAGATCATAATACCTTCTTAAATTGAAGAAATGATTCATGACCCCAGATACAATGCATCATTGGCCTTCACACATTGTTTTTTTTTGAGATGGAGTTTGGCTCTTGTTACCCAGGCTGGAGTGCAATGGCGCGATCTCAGCTCACCGCAACCTCCGTCTCCTCGGTTCAGGCAATTCTCCTGCCTCAGCCTCCCGTGTAGCTGGGATTACAGGCACATGCCACCATGCCCAGCTAATTTTTTGTATTTTTAGTAGAGACGGGGTTTCACCATGCTGATGAGGATGGTCTCAATCTCTTGACCTCGTGATCCACCCGCCTCACACATTGTTATTATATGTTTTGGCTCATCATGGGCCCTCTTTGGAGATATACTTGAGGACTCCTCTTTAGCTCTCAAGTCTACAGATTCAGCTTTTCAGTTCATTGTGTTAACTGAATTTTACATACAGACTATAAACTGCTGAATCTGTTGAGATAAAATTTATCAGCTTTTATGCTCTTTTGCATAGGGTGAATACTAATCTTCATATTCTTATACATGTAGTTCAAAACAAAGTGAAATTAACTGGAAGTTTAATAATTCATTGCCTTATGCCTTTTTAGCTGACCATTTGACTGTTTCTTTCCAGTCTTGCTTTTTCATCTACAAGTTTACTATAATGTTTACTATATAGCAAATGGTTAATTTGATTGAAAACATCTGCATAAACTATGTCAGTAAAGCTTTTCCCCCTGTTTTGGCTAGACACCATTATTCCATATATATAATTACTCCATTATTTTCTCTTCTTCATGAAATCAGATTAAGATTCATGATAGACATCCTGGTATTGCCTGTAAGGAAAACACAGCTCAGTTACTCATTTTGGCTAAAAGCCCCTTGGGATTTCTGACATTGAGAAAATTACAGATGTAGTAGACAAACTGTTAACTCAGGAGTAGTGAAGAACTTAACTCTTTAATGGGTAGCTTATCCCAATTCACTGCTTTCATGGGAAACCAAGGCTGTTTTGAACAACATGTGATAGGAAATGGGAAGACATATTCTGTCATTTGGCACCTGACAGTAAATTACATATCTCTTTTCCTTAGTGTACATGTTAGGAAAATTAGCAAGCATTTATAAGTTCATGGAAACTCTGCAATTCTACATAAGATATCTTAGCAAGTCTATAGTGGTCAGTTCTTTGGCAGCATATGGTAGACAGGGCCAGGGCAAAAACGACACGTACTTAGACAATTTGCTGTCGACACATCTTATTGAAGACCAAATTAGACAGTAAGGAGGTGGTGAGTCCTTACTGGAACATCTGAAGGTAATCATCAAAGACATGTACTGAACATTGCTATGTCTAGGCTTCTTTCTAAGTGCGTTTTAGGTGCCATCTCATTTATTTCTCACAGTTCTCTGAAATACTGATATTGTCTCAATTTTGTAGCTGGGGAAACTGTGTCAGAGAGAAAGGTTAGGAAACTTTGCTCGAGGTAACACAGAAGAATGACAGAACCAGGATTTGAATGCAAATATCCTGGCCCATGGCATCTCTTAACCATTGTGTTATGTTGCCTCTGAGGCTGTCAGTGAACTCAGATGCTGGAATGTTAGGTCGAATGAGGGAACTTGAAAGTGAACTTCAAAATTATCCATTTATTTTCTTGGGGTAACATTAAAGAAAAAAACCATATCTAGTAGTGAGCAGAAGAAGAGGTGTCATGAATCATGTTTGTTTAGTGTGTCAGTATGTAGATGGCCAACTCTGGAGGGAGGTGTGACATCATGGTGTTCAGGCTGCATGTTATGAATGGATTTGGAACCTGGCATGAAGATCCGCATTGAGCCCAGAGATGGATCTATACAGAACAAAGCCTTAACCCAAGAACAAGTATGTCTTTCTTCTGGTCTCCTTTTGAAACAACTTCTAGGTATGGGCACATAACATTGGCAGAGGTGTTGTACTCTCTAAAGCAGGTACAAGTGATAACCGTTGAGTTCTGGAGCCTTTGGGGCCATCACATTTTTAACATATAAATTACCCCTATGGCCTGAATACATGGAATCTTGTCCATGCACTGATATTAGTTGGCTCTTTGTGAATCCTCAGTAAAAATGAAATAATTATGACCTTTTAGGAAAAGATTAACCTAGTTACCAGCCATAAGTACTAATGTAATATTCTTGCAGCAGATAAAGCACTATGCACACAGTTGATCAGTGAACATTTTGTTTTTTGAGCTTGATTTTTTTGCTTTCAGCCATTAGAGAATTTTAAACTCCTTATATTCTTCTTTCATGGGTAACCTATAACTGCTTTTTGAGGATGAATAGACTGAAACCAGGGCCTATAGAAGCCAACAATTTCATATGCTTTTGTATATGGTATTAGAACCCAGTTCTGAGGAACTCCCAACCCGTTGCTTATCTTATTTCATCTGCAAGTATTGTGAAATATACAACTTTAACATTTCAAAGAGCAGAATTAAAGAATCTGCCGGCTCCCTTTTGAATAGCAGAGGGGTATTCCAAGGTCATTAGAGAACTGGCCTCGAGCAGTTAGTGGTATAACTTCTACCAGCACCGAAGGAGAGAGTGGATCATTTTCCTGTTGGCACTGCCATCACCGCTACCCCTAAATCATATTGACATACTTTATCCAGAGAGCTGAAAATCCAGAGAGCAGACACCATTCCATTCCTCTCCTTCCTTCCATGCTCATGTGGCTTAGATCAAGCAAGCTCCCCATGCTTCCCTTAATTCCAAGGGTTGTTCTCTCAGGTTCTGCACATCTAATAAATTAGATGGAGTATTAAAAATATTGTTTTATCTCAGGCTAACCTATCCATAAAGGTCTGGACAGTCATGTTGGTATAATTCATGCATGTAAAATTTTTCCTTAAACACAAATTCTAGCTTGCAATTATTCCTAACCACCATCTACTCCAAGGCCACATGAAATTAATCTTTTACATGTGATTTTCTGGAAAGTAACTTTTTGCTTCTACCCAAGGGATTGCAGCTTAATCTGTTCAGGGCTCATTATGTTTCCTCAAAGATCCCCGAACAGCCATTTGTAACACTTCATGGTGCTTCTCATGCAGGCAGCCTGCATTTGCTCTGAAGATAATCAGGATATCATCATCATCATCATCATCATCGTGGTGATTTCTATCCCTTTCTGCAGTACTTTGATATAGTACTAGAATATTAGATTAGGATAATACAGGATGAAATCTTCCCTGAATAAATCATGTTTGACTCTCTGCCTAGGAAATTCCTCCCTCTATTGATGGGGAAAAATCCAGTCATCTCTGAGGCTAGCTCAAGTATCTCCATTCTGTGAAGCTTTTCCTGATTCTTCATTTAAATTAGTCTGTTTTTCCTCTTCTTTGTACGGACTGTACCATGCCACCTCCTAGTTCTGCTGTTGATTACTTTTCTAGGTAGTCTCAACCTTCGAGAATGATAGACATTAAGGATACAAGGGTGAAACAGGTAGAACAACATGTAATTTTATAATTTCCTTTATTTACTCTCGTTCTTATCAAACAACAGGTTTATCAGAATTGGAATCTTTGTAGCATTCAGATCCAGTTAAACGCTTTTTAAAATACACCAAACTTTTTTATCCTAAAGTACAAACCCCTCCCAAACTCTTATTCAGCCTTCCCTTAAGGTGAAGCTCCCTTTGCAGCGACAAAGTACTTGATTCGTATCTGTTATTTCATATGATAATTATCAAAAGTTAGAGGCCTCATTTCCAGGGCAACCAGGAGTGAAATTTTGCCTTTACCACAGTCTTAACCCTACTTGATTAAATTCCGAAATATCATTTTAGCTGCTCTTGTTTTTGTGATTGAAAGGATACAGAATGTTCTACAGTTCACCTGTCTGCTGCCCCCAGTTTTTTCTGTCTAGCCATAAATAAATCTGTGCATTCATAACCAAAATCACTAACTTTGGCCTCTAGTTTATTTTGATAGTTTTAGAAATAAGTGTATATAAATATGTATATAAATTATTAACAATAGAGAAACATCTACAGGATTGAAGTAATATACACAAGGTGCGACATCACTTTCAGACAGATCCAAAACTTGGACCTGATCTTCAGGATTTCCAGTGCAAGGCTCCTTCCACTAATAATTAGAAGGGAGGAAAGATGGCTTCTTATGCCAGAGCTAGTGAAACATATGT